CAGAGCTGAGGGCTGAGCCAGCGTCCTTGAGTTTGCTAAGCAAGCCCTTTATCACTGATCCAGCTCTCCAACTGTTTCCTTTCTTGAGAGACATTTGTGCAATATGGACAAAAGGTCTACTATGTCCATGTCAGTCAGCTGTATAGGATCCTGAGGTCAATGGTGTCTTACTTAGGGTTTTTAATTGCTGTGGAGAGACACCATGACCACGGCAACTCTAATAAAGGAAAACATTTAATTGGGGATGGCTTACAGTCCAGAGGTTTAATCCATTATTGTTGTTGTGGAGAGCATGATGGCTTGCAGGTGGACATGGTGCTGGAGAGGTAGATGAGAGGGGAGAGAGAGAGAGAGAGAGAGAGAGAGAGAGAGAGAGAGAAGGACAGTGGGCCTGGCTTGAGCATTTGAAACTTCAAAGTCCATTCCCAGTGACACACTTCTTCCAACAAAGCCATACCCACCCCTACACAGCCACACCTCCTAATAGTGCCACTTTCTATAAATTCATGGGGGGCATTTTAATTCAAACCACCACAATGGCAAACACCAGTGTCCCTGATTTTGCATTATTCACAAGTTTGATATCTTGGGCATTGCTGATTTTTGTGTGAAGTTTGGCTTTTTAAAAATGTTACATTAAAGGATATTATGGGTTGGGGAGTGACTCAGTGGTTAAAGCTCTTTCTGTCCAAGCTGACAACTGGAATTTTGGATACCCAGTATCACGTAAATGCTGGATGATCCAGGTAGCATCTTGTAATGCCAGCATTTGGAAAGGAGAGATGGGAGATTTCTGGAACATGATGGCTAGACAGGTGAGCTATATAGGTTCTGGTTTTGATGAAGAAACCCTGTCTTCCTTCTTATAGAAGAGGATAAATACTATTACAAGAGGCTGCAGTTTTGGTCTGCAGTGGGCCTCAACAGACAAGACTGAAAAAGGAAATTAGATTCACGCACATTCAAATTTCACATCACCAATCTCAAATTAAGCTTTTTATTCGACCTTTAAAACCAAAGACTGGATTTTGTCTGGTGCCATTTGTCTTTAATCTTAGTGCTTCGGAGGCCAGATCATCCTCACATTTCCCTCTGTCTTAATCCTCACATCAGATGGAAACTGATGCTGAGCAAAAAATTATTCTTCTGTTGTCTTGCTCTTCCTCCTTCATAAGAAAAGTAACTTTGAGATGACCAACCAATTTGAGTGTGTTCACATGTGAGTGGGCGAATGCATGTATGTGGAAGGTTCTCACTTTCCTGGGGCTCACTGCTTTGGTTAGATATGCTGTCAGTAAGCCCCAGGGATCCTTCTGTCTCTAGCACCACAGACTGCCATTATAGACACCTGTCATCATGCTTAGCAGTTTTACGTAGATTCTAGGAGAGTAAGCTGGTTTCCCATGCTTTCCTGGCCAGCATTTTACTGACTGAGCCATCTCCTTAGTGCTGCTTATTTTTAGTTTTAAGAAAGACACTGTCTTATACAATAGCACAGACTTGAGTACCCAACCTTGCTGCTTCAGCTTTCTCTTGGGTGTAGTGACAGCCATACTTATTTATTCTGTGGTCAGCATTTTAAGGTTGAATATTTATCTGAAGTGCTTGTGACCGTAAGTGGTTTTTTTTTTTTGTTTGTTTGTTTGTTTGTCTCTCCAGCCCCTGACACACTATGTTTTGATGTGTTTGTTTCGTCTGTGATCCATCTCATAAAGTCAGCTATGTAATTTCCCACTGGGAATCAAGGAGTTCTAGGTTTGGGAGCATTTTGGATTTTGGGTTTTCAATTACCGATGCTGGACTTGCGTTGGCTCAGTTAGCTCTATCTTGTGATGAAACATAACTTTCCTTTAAAAAAAATATGATGTTATGGGTGTTGTGACTGCGTGGATGTCTGTATACTATGTGGATGTCTGTGTATCATGTGTGTGCCTAATGCCTGTGGAGACCAGAAGAGGGTGTTGTATCCCTGGAACTGGAGTTTCAGACCATTGTGAGACACCACACGGGTACCAGGATTGGAACTTGGGTCCCCTGAAAGAGCAGTCAGCTTTCTTAATCACGGCCCAGCTGTGCCAGCCAGAGATGCTATTCTCCTACTCAGCGTTTCAGATGAGGAAACTGAGTCTCAGGGAGGTTGAGTGACTTTGCTGGTCTCATCTGGCCAGCAAGCGCTTGCAGCGGTGACCTTTCTTGGTACTGTGACTAACTCCATGACAGAAGGCAATTCAAGGGAGGAATGGCTTATTTGGTTCCTGGTTCGGGGGACCATTCCTCATGGTGGGGAAGACATGGTGGCGGGAGTATGAGGCAGCTGGTTACCTCGAGTCCACAGTCAAGAAGGGAGGAGAGACTCTAGCTGTGAGCTGGCTGCCTCCTGTTCCCCTTATGTTTACTCATGGACCGCCCATGGCAGATTTAGGGTGCATTTAGGGTGGGTCTTCCTGCCTCATGTTGACCTTTCTGAAGATACTCTCCCTGATGTGGTTGGAAGTGAGTTTCCTTGGTGATCCTAAGAAAACCAAGTTGACAATGAAGATTAACAGCCACAGTGGTGAAGCTGAGAGTTAAAGCTAGGCTTTATCCCTTTGGAGAATGTTCTCTCTTTACACTGCCCTTTCTTTAGCCCCATCACTAAGGGGAGGGGGAAACATTCAGGGAGGAACTGAAGAGCAGATAGAGAGCTAGCTGGCTTCAGGTCCCAAAGGAGGTGGTCCCAGGAAGCAGCTCGTCTCACAGTGGGCCTTGTCTTACAGTAGGCCCTTCACCTGTGACTGATGGTGGCAGTTATGGGTGAGAATGAGGAGACTTCTGAGGTTGGCTGCTGGGCCCAGGACTCACACTGAAAAACCGATGTGGTAACCAGCTACCTCCTCTAGGGGGCAGTGCTCAGGCCTCTCCCATTGGTGGATCTGCTCATCTTTCCCTGTTACTCCTGGAGGCTTTGGAAGGTGCCATCCATATGTGCAGACATGATATTTCCCAAGGCTTGAGTGTTCTGCCCTTTGAAATTCTTTTCTATGGGTTTCCATTTATTTCTCTCTCTCTCTCTCTCTCTCTCTCTCTCTGTGTATGTATGTGTGCCTATGCACATGTAGTCAGAGGACAACTTACACAAGTAAATTTTCTTCTTCTACCATGTGAGTCCCAGAGATTGAACTCAGGTGGTCAGGTTTGGGAGCAAGAGCAGCCTTACTATACCTGCTGAGCCGTGTTGCTATCCCTTTTCCAAGCTTCCCATGGCTTGATTTCTTTTCGATTTTCTCCTTCCCAGCAACCTGCACAACCTGTGCTAGCATTTCTCAGACATGCTATTCTCGAATGCATCTGGGTCTTTTGGTATTCTTCTCCTTTTCCATGGCATATCTCTCCCCAGCCTTTCTTCCTGGTGGATCACCTTTTCTCAACTCTGACGCCTCTTATGTAACCTTATTACCCTTCTCAATATCATCACAGCACACTGGCCATTTTTCCTTGGCACCCTCTAAAGTACTGTCTGTGCCCATGTCTGCCAGTGTGGCTCTTGGTCTGTTTCTCTAGACACCAAAAGACAGCTATACATTTCTTTCCTTCTTGCTCCCACTGAGAACATACGTCCTCTGTCCTTGTGCTTGACACACAGGATGCTGTATCTCATTCTGAGGCTGGTTTGTAAGAAGCCCTGGAATTTCTTCCTGAGACTTGGAGCAGCAGAGTCACCCTTGGGATGCAGCTGCTGTCTGGCAAGACACCCAAAGTCACTTAAAGATGCCACTGTGAATGATCCTGGTGACAGCCCCAGAGTAGCACCTGGCCAAGGCCAACTTCCAGCTCTGTCAGATGGTCATCTTGGTCATCCGGGCCAGCGCACCTTCCTGGGACTCCAGCCCTTGCTCCTGTGTAAGACTGTAGTGTAATGTGAGTCCCTTGGTGACCAGCAAACACACAGAACTAGGGAAAGTAATGCAAATGGTTTTAAGCCATTAAGTTTCTGGGTGACTTGTTTTGGTTGCAGATGATGGGAGCAGTCAACCTCGTCAGACCAAAGCAAGGATGACACCACTGTCTCGTGAGAGCTCTGCTGCTAGCCTGGGTGAGGAACAACACTCATCTAACTTTTTGGTTTTTTTGGGTTGGGGGAGCAAATGAAACCCATCAGAACTCACTGTTCACCCTGAGATAGAATAGATTTATTAGCAAGAGGTAATCAGGAAACATATATTTTTACAAAAAAATGGAAAGTTTTGTTTTCCAAACAAGCTGTAAGTTGAAATATTTTAGGGCTTGAAATAGAATTCTCATACCACTAGGTATTGCTTACAGCAAGAGTTGTCTGTCTGCTGTAGTGGAGCATGCCTGCCACCTCTGAGTGAGCCTGTATTCTTTCTACTGTACAGTGTAAAAAAAATCATGGTAATATTCACAGAATAAGCACTAACTTACTATATTCCTGCTAGAAGGCATTTAGACAGGACTACAGTGTATGCAATAAAAACACTCGGTTATTGATTTCCTAATTCTACGTCGTGAGACTAATTACCACAAGGTATACAGACTCAGGGCATCTCAACATAAGCTTGTAGTGACTGTCAGGCAGCTGAAAAAGGAGAAGTGACTTTTGTGTGTGTGTGTGTGTGTGTGTGTGTGTGTTCCTGACCTCCAGTGGAGACTGGGCAGAGGTCGGCCAGGGTCACCTCGACTTGGGTGTTAGGATTCCATTTTCCTAGAGAAGTTCGGGGGCCGTGTTCACTTCTACTGAGCCTGCTTTTCATGCTATCGGGTGTTAATCCTAGAGCAGAGAGCAACATGGTGCCAGTAGTGGTGTTCGGTGTTCAGTAGAGGGGCGTGGTTCTCAGCGGAGAGGACTCCCTTCCAGCCAGGTTTACTGGGACTGTTGAGACCTGCGATTTTGGCTGAAGAAGCTGCTTTGGAAATCGGCATCACCGTCAGCAGGAAGGGTGTCAAGGACTGGACTTGCAGGTATGGCTTCCCCCACCCTCCTCCCCCTCCCCCCACCCAGTTATAACAACTACATGGAACATGCTGGGGAGGATGCCTGGGTGGCCCGAGCCGACCCAGGGGCCTGGGCTGGGAGGGACGAAGCAGGACTGGAGTTTGAGAGTTGTGTCAGGTGGGCTCTGTCTCCCCTTCTGATTGGAGTGAGGGCCTGGGATTGCTGATGGGGGAGTACAGCTGTTGGAAGGAACAGGCTCCGGAGGGGGCGGGGCAGAGTCTGAGACTGCAGAAATTCGTATTCCAGTTCTACAGGAATCTAAGAACAAGAACAGATTTGTATTCTTGGAGGAGCACATACTGAAGAAGAAATCCAGAGGAACCAAACGATTATGTACAATATCATATAGCAGATGTCCACGGGAGCGGCTGGGGCATGGGTACAGCTTCAGGTGGGGAGTTTTGGCTCTATTCGGAGAGAAGACTCGTAGAGACTTTCTTCGTCCATTACAAAGGATTGATCCAGCAAGTACTGAGTCACCTGAAATGAGAGGAAGGGGCAACAGAACTGCTGTGGACACTGTGTATCTTGTGAAAATTTTTCTTTTCTTTTCTTTCTTTTTTTTTTTTTTTTTTTTTTTTTTTGAGACAGGGTCTTACTTTATAGCCTGATCTGGTCTGGAGCTCACTGTGTTGCCCAGGTTAGCCTTGAACTTGAGACCATCCTTCTGTTTTAGTCTGCAAAATGTGGGACTACAGATGTATATCAGCAGGCCTAGTGGAACCAAACACCTTTGTAGGTTCAGGACATACATGTGTGAGAGACAGTGTTTTGGCCTCCTCTGCCCCTTGAAAGGGTCTTGGTATGTGACAAGTCTAACTATAGCCATGAACTCAGAATCCTCTGCCTCAGCTTCCCAAGTGCTGGCACTATCCTATACAACTGTGTTTTGTCTTTTTTTTTTTTTTTTTTTCAAGACAGGGTTTCTCTGTGTAGCCTTGCTGTCCTGGAATTCACTTTGTAGACCAGGCTGGCTTCAAACTCACAGAAATACACCTGCCTCTGCCTCCTGGGTGCTTGGATTAAAGGCGTGTGCCACCACACTGAACATAACTTTTTAAAAGTTACATTTTAAGATTTATTTTGTGCGTATGTTTTTGGAGTAGAACTACTGAGTGACATCCAATGCTCCTATGTTCTGTTAATAAACAGTCTTAACAGTAATAAGCCACATGTGGTAAAAATTACCCTTGATTGATTTTCTTTTTCTTTTAGTTGATCCCTTGAGGAAATGTTTTGCTTAAACAAAGCAAACAATAGCCTGAAAAGGCCAGCAGTTGACTCTAAGTGCCAGGTGGGTGGGTGTTCACAATTCTTTCAATGCTGCAGTTTGAACATGTGGAAGCACTCATACACTAGGATTATACAGTACTGTGAGACTCCTCTCAAGCCTGGCTAGCTGGGGGAAGGCTTGTGTGGGCTCCCATGGTTGGAGCCTGAGGCAAAAGGCAAATGTGAGAAATTGAGAATGGTCACCCTGGGAAATTCAGTTGTCTTGCCTCCTGCCTGTCCACTCTACTCTTGATTCTTTTGCTGAGAGAACAGAGCCATGCATTCAAAGAGAGATCAGAGCTCTGGGCTTACAGGCATCCCCTGCGTCTACAGTTCATGTATTTGTCAGTTTTGAAGCAATCGTGCCTTTCTCCCTCCACAGAAACCAAGAACAAGAAGGAAAAAGCAATGACACCCGTGTTCTGTGCCTGAAAGACTAATGATGGCTGCTTTGGGAAAATCAAGCCTGTTGTTTTGGTCTTGGGAAACTGACTCTGCCACCACGAAGGTCAGAAGCAGCTGAATGCTGACTTTCAAGGGTGCCATGTTTTCATATACAGTGTGTGACACAATAGCATAGCTCCTCCAAATGCTGCTAAATTTAAATAGATAGTTATGTATTATTATTGTTATTATTCCTCCCCTCCTCTCTATGTGTGTAAATGTAGGTGTGAGCATGTAGAGGTCAGAGGACAACCTTCACTGTCTAACTGTGTGCTCTTTGGGTCTCTTCTTAGCTGTGCACTGCTGTGTACTCAGGCTAGTTGGCCTGTGAGGTGGTTTGAATAAAAATGGCCCCCATCTGTTGGGTGTGGTGCTGCACACATACAACCTCAGCACTGGGGAGGCAGAGGTAGGCGGATCTCTGTGAGTTTGAGGACAGCCTTGCCTACAAAGCCAGTCTACACAAGGCTACACGGAGTAACCCTGTCTCGACCCCCCCCCCCCCACAAAAGAACGGCCCCCAGAGGCTCACAGGGAGTGGCACCATTAGGAGGGGTGGCCTGGTTGGAGTAGGTGTGGCCTTGTGGGAGGAGGCGTGTCACTAAGGGGTGGGCTTTGAGGTCTCAGAAGCTCAAGCCTGACACTCTGGAGTGTGTGTGCGCTGTCACTTCCAGCTGCCTATGGATTTAGATTCAGAACTCTCAGCTCCCTCTCCAGCACCGCGTCTGCCTGCACGCCACCATGCTTCCCAACATGACAATGATGGACTAAACCTCAAAACTGTAAGCAAGCCCTAATTAAATGTTTTCCTTTATCAGAGTTGCTGCAGTCATGGTGTCTCTTCACAGCAATAAAAGCCTAAGACAGTCTGAGTGTCTGGAGATTTTCTCGTCTCTGATTCCCACTGCACACGCACAGTGCATATGAACATGAACCTTGACTGGGTTTTATGGGCTCTGGGGATTTGAACTAAGGCCCTCATATTTACAGAGTAAATGATTTCCACACTAGGCCCGTGGGTTCTCAACCTTCCTAATGCTGTAAGTCTTTAATACAGTTTCTCCTGTTGTGGTGACCCCCACCATAAAATTATTTTCTTTGCTACTTTATAACTAACTTTCCTACTGCTGTGAATCACAATGCAAATATCTGTGTTTTCTGATGGTCTTAGGTGACTCCTATGAGAGGGTTATTGGCACAGGTTGAGAACCACTGCCCTAAGCCATCTCCTCAGCCCTTAATATCATTTTAAAATTATACACTAAATGATGTATGGCTGGGGACAGAACTCAGCTGTCTATGAAGGTAATCCTAGCCCTCAGGAGGTACTTTTTTTTTTTTTAAGTGCTGGATTTGGTAGGAGACAGAGGCAGGCCAATCTCTTTGACTTCAAGGCCAGGCTGGGTGACATATGGAGCTCCAGGCCAGGCAGGGCTTTGTAGGGAGACCTTGTCTTAAAAAAAAAAAAATAACAGAGAGACCATACATACATCTTTGGGCTGGATCTTGTGTGTGTGCTTGAGTGTATGTGTGCTTGAGTGTGTGCACATAAGTGTGTGTCTCTCTGTGTGTCTGATCTATTTTTTTCTTTTTGCTGCATGAGGTTGGATTGAACCCCAGGGCCTCAGTCATGCTAAGCAAGCATTCTGCCACTGATTGCTACTGTTGTACTGTGCTTTTTACATCTTTGTCTATTTCCCTCCAGAGTGTAAATTCATGAGGACACACGCATATGTATTTTGGATACTGTGCCTTGTGGTGGCCTGAGATAGTGCTGGGGCACAGTGCTCACCCTATAAATATATCTATTGAATGAACGAAGAGCAACATCCTAGGGGCCCACTTAGTTATCCACAGAGCTGTTCTACAGGGCAGAACGGAGCATAGCACAGAATTCATTTTGTTGTTGTTTTCTGAGACAGGGTCTCTCTTTTATGTAGCTTTGGCTGTCCTGGAACTCACTGTGTAGACCAGGTTGGCCTCAAGCTCACAGAAATCCATAAGCCTCTGCCTTCTGAGTGCTGGGATTAAAGGTGTGTGGCCAAATACCCAGCAACTTTTTTTTTTTTTTTTGATACAGTGTTTTGGGTAGTCCAGGTTGGCCTAAAATTTGCTACACAGCCAAGAATGTCCTGGAATTTCTGATCCTTCTTTTACCTTTCAAGTGTTGGGGCCCCGGCCATCATGCCTGGATTTATGCTGTGATCCAATGCAGGGCTTCATGCAGGCTAGGCAAGTGCTCTACCAACGTCCCCAACTTCAACACAAGATATATTTTTGAACTTGGTTTATAGCAGAGAGAGAGTAAAATGGGCTAGATGTCCATCCACATGAAGGATTAGTGAGAGGAATGGAACTCTCTGCAGCTTTAAGCAAGGATAAGGCTACTGTGTCTCGGGAAGAGTGACCCCAGACACATGGCAAAACAGAACGATGCTGAGCAATGGGTGGCAGGTGACATTATGGTAGAAAATATGCTGTGTTTATGGACTGGCCCAGATACAGACTTGAGAAGAAGCAGGGTGCTCTTGTCTTTGGGAAGAAAACCTGTGACTATGACTTGGAGTCATAGCACTTTTATATGTGTCTGGGGCTAGGGATGTGGCTCAGTTTCCTGACTACCATCTGCGAAGTGCCGGGTTTGGGCTTCAGTGCCACACGTAGGAGGATGGCGGTGCACACCTGCAGTCCTAGCCCTTGGTAGGTGGAGGCTGGAGAATCACAAGTTCAAGGTTGTCTTCGGCTACATATTGAATCTAGGGCCAGTATGGGCTGCATGAGACTTTGAAAGACAGCAATCAAGGGCCAGAAAGATGGTTCAGCTAGTAAAATCCCTGAAATTTATATGGTGAAAGAAAGAAAAAACAAAAAACAAAAAACGACTCCTACAACCTTGTCCTCATATTTCCAAAGGTGCTGTGGTACATGTGTATAGGAACACACACACACACACACACACACACACACACACACACACACACACACA